TTAAAAAAAACTATTTAAATCTTTCCAAGACTTGACTCAATAACTTCTGTGCAAAATGAAGGTAAGAAAAGTTGCTTAGTAAAAGTTAGTAGTACCAAACATTTTAATAGCCCCGGCCCCTCAGAAATATGTGCTTTTTAAGAATCATGTGAATTGGAATCATCTGCAGTTCAGAGTCGTGCTGGGTGCGCAGTCTGTGCTAAAAATGCATCTTCAACACCTACAAAAATATACAAAGAGAAGCCAATATCTTGCCTGATCTGTACAGAATGAGCAGCGCTTTTATGTGGCTGGAGTTATGGTTTCCACAAGTTGGTCTATGATGAATAACTGCAGACGAGCTCACTTCTAACCCTAATCACTCTGTATCCCGATCACGACGAGGGTGGTGTTAATTTGTTCGGTGAAGCACAGACACAGGTGGTTTGAATCTCCCGGGTGAAAATAAAACAAAAAAAGGCCACAGACTTCTCTTTGAACACACTTTAAGTCATTTCTCTTCTGCCATCGCCGTGGGTGTGCACTGTGCAGACGGGTGAGTGTGCTCAGTCCACCATCCACCTCAGGCACGTCTCCTTGATCTACTTGTTGGACCGGTCCCGCCGCGCCCTGTACTGAGGGATCAGTGGAGCCCTCCATTGTAGGACTTGCTGTACATGCTGAAATCTGTTTCCACAAAATGTGTAGAGATGGGGTGCTTGTACAGAGGGTTAGAGGCCTGAGGGGGAGAGAGATGAGACTTTTAATACCTGAAGGGCCCATTTTATTTGACTGGCTTGGTTTATCTCACCTACATAGAAGGTGCTGAGGTTTTTCAGCCTCAAACTATGAGCCTCAGTTTATTGCTAGTATACATGATGGGGCTGTAATACTCATGAGTTAGGCTCATCCTTACCATTTCATATCGGGCACGCGAGCGGGCGCTCTGGAAGCGGGCAAACTCACGCCGGTCGTGGATAGTGATGACCAGCTTCCAGGCAGCGAGCAGCAACAGTCCTACCAACAAGATGCTCCCAACCACTGCCACCAGCACCATCAGGGCATCTGGTCCCCTGACGCACTCTGAAGCAGGCACAGGAAACAACATTTAACACAAGCTCACTTAACTTAAGTCACAGCTCTTTGTTTCCTATCTTCAGCAAATATTGGTGAGGTGAAATGGATGGCATGGTGGCTGAACAGATCGGGCATAATGGCTTGGAACCAAACCCCCCCCAAAAAAACAAAAAACAAACCTCTAAGGTCTTAGAGGTGACCGGACAGTCACTGGCACAATGAAGAAACTGAGTGTCTGCTTCAGCCAGTTCGTATCACAGGGAAGTCACAAGTAGTTATTTCTTAAAAACATGAATGCTACTGAAGACACGGGGCATTAAAGGCGGCACTGAAAACACAGCAAGAGGGCCAGGGTGTCACTCTGCCCACTTAAAAATAGACGTGTGGACTTTCTGGAGCCAGTGTGTAAATGGAGACAGCGAACTCAGGTAACATGAAACAGTTGACATCCCCCACGTTTGCAATCAAAAACAAAAGTTTGACCAGAAATTTTTTTTATGTCACTTCTTAGAATTAGTCAATGTTTTCAGCAGTCAGTCTTTTATTTTGAGTAACAGTAATGTTAACAAATGTTTGTATTGAATATGACCGTTTGAATCCACCTGTACAGCCTGAAAATTTCTAGTTATTTTTGGTCCAATTTGTAAAAACAAATTGGACCAAAAAGAATAAATTCGACACCCTGACTCTGGACATAGAATGACAGTCACTCAGTACTACACTCTTAAGCCTCCTTTGTAGTGACAGGTTCATTGTCTGTAACCACTGAGGGGGAATAATGTGAGGTAAGGTTGGGAGCAATGAACCCAGAATCTTTAAAGATGGTGGTGAAAATCAAGCAGCTGATACCTACGTACAATCCAAAAGCACCTGATCATTACCAGCTGTCAAATTTACCAACAAGTGCTGCTAAAAATCAAAACAAAAAACCCAGGAAAGACAACATTATGTATTGTTGTTTGTAGCACTGACCTGGCTCTTTAAGAGCTGAGAGTATAGATTGTCCGCTGGCGTGCTCAGAATATGTGAACTTCATGACACAATCGTCGTCTGTCTTGTACAAACAAAGCACAGCGCCGGGCTCGTCAGTTTCTAAGCACGACAGAGAGAGATGGGAGGTGGGAGGAAACACAGACACATTTTTCAATAAATGCAAGTTTCGCACTTTCTACTGCTGTTCTAACAAAGCGAGACTTTGATATTATAAAAAACTATTAAGGTTTGGCTTCAGATACTGGAACAAAAGACATCCAAGAGGAATCTCACGGTCAGGGGCAAACGGAACCACTTATGAATGTTTAACACATCAGTCAATGTCTCTGCTGTGAAGTCACAATTTAAAAACAACAACAACAAAAAAGACAGCCTTGACTGAAATGCTGACATTCTGTTTGCCATTGTTTGCATTCGATCATCATTATCTGACCAGATTCAAAACCTCACAAGGGAGGATGAGGTCACTCCGTCCTGGTCCACCCCTCCCATCAACCCCTGCTCCTCTAGTTCATGCACAAAGTATCTGGAATGTACATGTGGAGACCATTAAGGGCAGTCAGATGGCTGAACTAGTAGAGAATGCTATGAAACACATCAGACCTGGGCCAGGGCCATGCTGGGCCAATATGGAATGCTAATATAATAGTCTCTATGGCTAAACACAGACTCAGGCCATGCAGTGTCACAGTGCCACTTAAAACATTTCACATTTCCCCCGAGTGTTCAGCACCAGGCTGTGAGGGGAAAAAAAAGATGCACTGCCAAACATTTTGGATGGCGTCCCCTGGCTTTTTACAATGAACCACGAGACAGGCAGTGCACTGCAGGTTTGGTTTGTTTAGCGGGTGGATTCTCCCTGTAGAGAAGGTAGGTGTCAGCGGAGGATTGGATTCTAAAATAGACTGAACTCTGAACCAAATGAGGGGTTGTAGACGAGATGGTGTAGCTGCCTGCTGTGTGGAGCTGCGACAGGTCCAGACCGCCGTCTTCCACATAATAACATAAACAAGAGGCCAAGCCTGACCGCTGAGCACTGGGTGTACTTTCATTAGCAATCACAGAGGTGTGAAAAAAGAAAGGGTGCAAGCAGCAAAGCCTCAAACAACCACAGAGAGTGGAACAGAGGTGACAGCCATACTAGAAAAGAAACTCAGAGGCTGTAGCACCTGTAGATGCTAACAGGGGATTTATACTTCTGTGTTAAGCTACTGGAACCAGAAAGCTCCAAAACCCTGCCACATAATATGATGTAAGCTGACGTGGAAAAGTAACTACACTGTTTTTAAATTTATCAGTAAAAGAATAACGGCTATCGTCCTAGTACAGGAAGAACAATCACAGCCTCGATAAAAGAATTCCCAGTGGTCGGCATATTCCTCGAGGGAGATTGCTGAAACGATCAGAATGCACCTGAGGAAAGTACAAATGTGTCTGTCTCTGAAAATGAAAAAGAGCCAAACCAAAACAACAACAAAGAGTGGGAACCAAACATTTTATTTGTTTCTTATCGAGGCTGCACCACACATGAAACAACACGCACAAGCATGAATGCTGGTAACAAAGTTGGCTACTTTTACAGGTTATTGCATAGAGTCAGAGACTCACAGCACAAATCTAAATCAGCTGTGACATGTCACATGTCCATCCAAAGTACCTGGAACTAAAAACGTTCCTTTAGACAATCCCATAAACACCTGTCAGGACTAGACATGTACTATACCTCATCTGTCCATGCCGAATGCACTCTTGGCTGAAATAAAATACTGTAGGTCCAATCAAACAGTCCAGTCCCCCCATTTGCTAAAATGGTCACTTCTGTTGCCAAAAGGGCAAAGATGGTGGTGCCAAAATACAAACTTGAATTTTCCTATAATTTGTTTTTAAAATAGACTGTATATAAAAGATGGCCAACTATTTCACTTTCAGCTAATCAGTTAAGCCGCTTCAAGCTCTGCTGCTTCAGTCGTTTCTGTCTGGTGTATGTATCCTGCTTCTCATGAAAGCTTAAAGGTAGAAGATCACTTAGAGCTGTTCTTCTATGTATTGATATTTAAAATATCGTTTTTCCTGGAATGGAAAAGTCCTTGCGCGTGCAATTCAGGCTGTTGAGCATCGGAATGTACTTTATTACATCAGGTGTTAATAGTGCCTCATTAGTGGGAGTCAGACAATTACTTTAGCAAAGTCCCACAGTAACAACAATAAACGGTATGCAGAATGTGAAAAATGAAACTTTTGCAGATGCTACAGATGTGAATACTTTTCTCTGCCAGCAAGTTGGTCTCTGTGTTAGCGTGTGTGTTTTTGTGTTTACTCACTGAGAGTCTCCACAGGGATGATGTGATCCTTGCACTGTCGCTGGCAAGTCTCATTGTCCGCAAGCCTTCCAGAATTGAAAAGCCGGCACTCAATGCACTCCCTGAATCAGAGAAGGGCAAAGACACGCTAAACATATGCATACATTTTTATATCTACATTCAGGAGGCAGAGATCACTCAACCCAAAAGCCAATCATATGACATTGTTACTGTGCTGTCGAAAGTGCCCCACTGTGCTCTGCTAAAACACTGGAACTGTCTCTACTACAAACTGCGACTAAACAGCAAGTGAACCGTGCAGCACACAGAACAAAGAACCTGATGAGTGCATGAACTGTTGCTGGTGCAGGTTACAGGAACCTTTCACAGATGCTTCAAGTTTGTTAAACGCCGCTTTTAAACTTGATTTGGTTCTTAAAAGAAATGGTTTTCTATTCTGAGAGCTCAAAGCGCTTTCTTACTACAGGACACCCATTCACAAAGAGATCGATACAACACTATTCTTATATGCCTCTAAGCATTATGCCCAGCAGGCTCCAGTGGATGCATTAGGCAAAACTTGTTCTATGCATCATGTCAGAAGATGCTTCGACAGAGGTTGAAAGAAGCAGGGATTGGACCACTGATTGTCCAGTTATAGAAATGTCATCAATTCTCTGGCACAGCAAATGCACAGTGATGCCTTTGACTTCCACTATGGAAGCAAAAATCCTGTTTTTAAATCAGTTCTGACCAGCACTTGCGCTTTTGCACAATAAAAACAACATTAGTTTGTCAACTAAACTTTATCTCTCACAGGAAGCCTGTTGAGAGGAAACTGTAGTTCCATCCCCTCAAAAGCTCGAGCTGCTACACGGAGTGATCCGGGTTCAAACGGCAGACAAATGGTTTCATGTCTTCAGGTCACAAATGACAAGAGAGTTAGCTTTGAAGGCATGGGAAGAGTTTTCTGATCAGTCTTCAAGTGAGAGAGGTATGTGAGGTCTTGGTTTTAGACTACTTAGAGCTTTTCCTGGAGCTTACAGTTGCAGACAGCCTGAAGGTTTCAATTTTCCACCTTATTTCTCATCCATCAGCGGATATTAGCAACCCAAACAAGCAGGTCAAGCTCCAACTTGGACTGTGTAAACCACAGGTATAAACCGCAGCACGGCACTTACCTCTTTGTGCCGCAGGCATCGGGGCAAGTGGGGCATTTTTCGCAGGTTTCTCCAAAGGCTCCGGGCTCAGTGCACTGACAGCGGCCGCACACACAGCTGCCTCGCCCGCTGCACATCTGCCCGTCATCTGAAATGCAGCCCGATGTTTCTGTCGAGCAGTTGCAGTTGTCGCCAATGTAACCGGCATGGCATTTACACTCCCCACAGTGACACTCACCATGACCTGCCGAGAGAGGAACACACAGCAGGTCAGCAGAGAAACAATGTTACAGCGAGGCAGCTCGGACACTGTATGTGATAAGAGATATTTTTAGCAGATGCTCTGAGTTTGAAACACCTAGGTCACATTCAATTTTGGGCGTCCATACCACCTGAACGCCCAGCAGGGTGATGACAACACCCCATTGGCCTCTTAGAGCTGTGGGGTAAAAGGTTTTCTGGACATAGATCCCTATAATCAGCAACCCTCATAGAAAGCAAAAATTGGAGTTTTATGTGATTCATTTCATGGCTTTGGAAATATATTGAGATGCTTTTGTTGGCAAACTTGAATATCATTGAAGAGTGGATTACTGGCTAAATCTAAGAACTGAAGGACTTAGATTTAGCTAGAGGAACAAAAACTACACTAGAAGCCGCTGGCTAAACTTCACGTGTGACATGAGATTGAGCAACATATACAGAGTCTAGCTGACAGTTCATAGAGGTGGTTTTGCTTCTCCTTTGCAACAGTGGGAAACTGAAACATCTGGAGTATTGCAGTGTTGATCATGCTCTTCTCCTACCAGCACTGAGCAAACTGCCCGGTTTGTACTGCACTCATTGACTTATCAACACTGGAATGAGTCCGAGAACGGGCTCTAGCTCTTGCTATAACTCTGATTTGGTTTGGTTGTCTAAGAACAGCCTGTGGTAAAGAGAGAGCAGTCAGAGACAAGAAGACTCCTTGATATAAGGAGGACAGCAGCTGCAATCAAAGAAGCCTTACTGACAAGCTGATTTCACACCCGCTGTTCCAAGACCCTCCACAAAGACCAAATTCATGAATCTGCTCCCAGAGAATGATAAGAAAGAGGAAGGACATACTGTAGGCAAACTATACCAATACAGACTTTATCAACAGAAAAGGAATGGACTGGTTCTTATGTAGCACGTTAATCGAGTAGGCTGGTACATTAAACACTTGACTTTTCCAGTCTTCCTATTTCAAAGCCGTTAAAATGGAAAAAACACTGAAGACAGTTATTTGTGGAGACTAAGAAATAACTGGGTCACTAACAAATGAAATCACTGTAGGAGTGGTTCCTACTTCTGTCAAAGGGGCTCTCCTGGCAGTCAAGAAAGACAATCACAGTATACTGCCAGTCAACATCAGACACTACCAGGAGGAAAAACTGAGCCTCTGATTGCAGCCAGATCCTGAAAGAGGTCACAGAGACTTCTCAAAACCAAGAGGAAACATTTTTTCTAATCATCAAGCAAGTGGTCAGGGTTGTGCAACATACTGTCTGGAATCACAGACATGCAGTAAATTCTTCCTATTCTTGTCTAAACACTTCCTAATTATTCAGTGCATGCTGCAGAGCTGTGCATGTTTTTTTCTCTCAAGGTTGAAAACCTGAGACCAGTCAAATGAAATTTGTTTAGAGCACCACTCCTAGCCCTCAGTCACTGGAGGCTACCACGATGAGTGGCATGTGGCTGACTCACAGTACCAACACTGGGAACGTGTCCTTAGATGACTGCGCTGCTTTGTGGGCATTCAGAGGGCACGAACTGGGATCTTTTCCTGACAGTATGGGGAGGATAAAAGAAGTGTAGCTGTGTTCTCATTCAACATGTCCTGGCGAGCTGCTAATAGATCTGCTGTGTGCAAATACTCCTCTAATATTTATGTGAAATATTCATGTCTGTGCTCTTTCCCAGCGCTTATGACTGAGCTTTTGGAATTTCCTGTTGTATACAAATGTTGTTTTCTGCATCACACTGCATGGCTGCAATTCTTTTCTTTAAATAAATAAAGAAAAGAAGAAGATCAGCTATGTGGGGATCTTTTTATAAAAGTCTATGCAACAAGACAAATTCATGCTAGGAGATGTTCATGCTCAACTTAAACAAGCTTAAAATTGGCCAAACTCCAAGTTAAAGATGTCTTTGTTTCGTCATATGTTAGGCACCGCTTCTTTTCCTAGATGCTAACAGTCTTTAAACCACTGCACCAATCGTGAAATGAACTGGCGTGCCGACAGAAGAAAATACCAGCGATCAACACTTCACGAGTCTACAACAGCTAACCGTCACCATATGCCTTGAGCCAGATGTTTGGAGCAAGTGCACATGCTCTTTATCCTGCCATTCCGTCTTGTGATTTAGCTGGTAAGTTGTTTCACTTCTTCTTCTCTGCTGTGAGATTAAGCAGTACTCACAATAAACACAGCTGTAGCGGAGGAGGGAACATGGAAAGTGTTCAGATCCTTCAGAGCTGTGACCTTCCCCTTTAGCTTGCAACTTTTCCATGACGTTTCTCGAGACATTCTGTCAGCCTGGAACAGCAGCCAAGATGAGTTAAAATGAGGAAGAGGAAGGAGTTGTTCTGGAGACATCCAAGACTTTTCATTTCTGACATTAGGCTGCTTTCTGTTTCGTTACCACCATCTCAGGCCGTCAAATACTTATTACTTATACTCCCTCATGTTGCTCGATTCCCATAAGAAGATTAGAGGAAATTCAAAATGGAAAGGAAAAACAAAAAATGGAAAGAATAGTGTTCTAGTCTTCACACTACTGACTATGAATACCACATGAATGAATGAAGCATGAACGCATACTACATATGTCTATATCTTGCTCACTGTAATGCACTAGCCTAAAATCTGCCATACATCTTTATTTTCACAATTTTACCCATCTTTGCAGTCAACTGCTGCAGTAAAATCAGCGAAAGCATCTGCTTTTCAACATTTCTCAGGTCCAGCTCTAACCAGTGGTTAGTGAAGGCATATTACAAAGGATCTAAGTTTTTTTCTCTTTGTGTGAACTGACAGGAAAGCTGGGGAAGCTGCAGATTGGCACCTGGGCCTTATTTCTGTCTACATCTAGGTGTGTTTTGTCTTCTAACATTCAGTCTCTGACGAATGTGTAGCCCAGCTAGAAAAAAAGAGCAGTGGAAAGTAGTTTTTTTTTTCATGTATAATGTAAACAATTTAGTCATTTCTTTTTTTCTTTTATGTTTAAAGGAAGATGTGGACCAATAAGATTATCTGTTGTCATTTAACTTGGCCAATCAGCAATGAGCTCCCAGTGACCCTTGCTGTTGACCTTGATCACATGATTTCCTGTGTTGCCATT